CTACTGCATTTGTTACTGTTACAACGTTCTTGTTATTAAAACGGTTACTGTTACCTTCGAGCCTCTGTCCTTCCTTATTGAAGATCTAATAAAATCGAATACAGCATTTTTTGCCTCCTGAAGTCCCGCCCCCTTCACAAAATGGCCATGCATAGCCTTATGGAGGTTTGCAGAGAGCTCCTGGGGGCTGGGGAGGGCAGAAATGAGCAAAGAAACAGGCCATTTTTGCCCCAGCCCCCAGCAGCACTCTATAAGCCTCCATAAGGCTATGCATGCAATTATTTTGACAAAAAACGGGCCCGTTTTCATAAAACCGGCCATTTTTTGCTTGTTTTTGCCCCGCCCCCACCCCAGGAGCACTCTGCAACCCCCCCCCACGTTATTCATGCCTTTTGGGGGGGGGAAGGGCCCATTTTCGGAAAAAAATGGGCCGTTTTGGGGAGGTTTGCAGAATGCAAAAACTCCCCCCCCCCTTTGGAAAGCTCTTTAACTAATTGATGAGAATTACATTGACCAAATGCTGTGCCAGCAGGAACAAAGTCTTAGATGCTGCAGATTGTCAGCGATTTCCTTCTCCAGCGCATGGATAAATACACCTGGAAACATCTACCTACCTCTCTCTGTCTCCCTACCTACCTACTGTATTTCTCTCTCCCTCTCCCTCCCTCTCCCTCCCTCTCCCTACCTACCTACCTACCTACCTACCTACTCTCTCTCCCTCTCTCTCTACCTACCTACTGTATGTCTCCCTCCCCCTCTCATTCTCTCTCTCCTTCTATACCTACATACCTACCTACTCTCTATCTCTCCCTACCTATCTACTGTATTTCTCTCTTTATTTTTCTCTCTCTATCCCTCTACCTACCAACCTACCTACTCTCTCTCTCTCCCTACTTACCTACTGTGTTTCTCTCTCTTTCTCTCCATCTCCCTCTCCCTCTATCTACCTACTCTTTTTTAAATTTTCCTCTTCAAAACCTTGGTGCGTCTTATACTCCGGTGCGTCTTATACTCCAAAAAATACAGTAGGCTGCTGAAATTATATAGATAATTTTACTTAGTCTGGAGTCCCAATGTTAGAGGTTGTTTTCTAATCCCTTGNTATAAGATGCACCTTTTTTCCTCAAAAAAGAGGCTAAAAATCGAATACAGCATTTTTTGCCTCCTGAAGCCCCGCCCCCTTCACAAAATGGCCATGCATAGCCTTATGGAGGTTTGCAGAAAGCTCCTGGGGGCTGGGGAGGGCAGAAATGAGCAAAGAAACAGGCCATTTTTGCCCCAGCCCCCACCAGCACTCTATAAGCCTCCATAAGACTATGCATGCAATTATTTTGTCAAAAAATGGGCCCGTTTTCATGAAACTGGCCATTTTTTGCTTGTTTTTGCCCCGCCCCCACCCCCAGGAGCACTCTGCAACCCTCCCTCCCAGGTTATTCATGCCTTTTGGGGGGGGAAGGGCCCATTTTCAGAAAAAAATGGGCCGTTTTGGGGAGGTTTGCAGAATGCAAAAACTTCCCCTCCCCCTTTGGAAAGCTCTTTAACTAATTGATGAGAATTACATTGACCAAGTCCTGTGCCAGCAGGAACAAAGTCTTAGATGCTGCAGATTGTCAGCGATTTCCTTCTCCAGCGCATGGATAAATAGACCTGGAAACATCTACCTACCTCTCTCTGTCTCCCTACCTACCAACTGTATTTCTCTCTCCCTCTCCCTCTCCCTCTCCCTCTCCCTCTCCCTCCCTCCCTCCCTCCCTCCCTCCACCTACCTACCTACTCTCTCTCCCTCTCTCTCTACCTACCTACTATATGTCTCCCTCCCCCTCTCAGTCTCTCTCTCCTTCTATACCTACATACCTACCTACTCTCTATCTCTCCCTACCTATCTACTG